CATATTTTACAGGTCCACCTATGGTCACCCTTTAGTGTCTTGGACTATGAGGTCCAAATTGTATCGTTTGAAGGAGTATTTCATCCATTTTTACCAAACGCCCTCACAATTTGATGGTCAATTGTGTCATTAATTCGTGGCTTCAAATAGATACCCACCCATATGGGGTTGGATTTGGTTAGAAATTGACCACATTAGCTTCAAAACAACCTAAAGATTGTTCGTGAATGATTTGAGGACCTAGATCCACAAACTACTCCTCTGAATGTTGAGCTATTGCTGAGGGCCCATATTGTATTTTGTGCTCAGGATATTGACTTGTTTTTGGGCTATTTTGGCCTCTTTAAGTGGTCTTTTCTGATAAAAATGATTCACATGAACAACAAACAACCTGTAAGAGTATCTCACAAATACTTTATTCCGGGACAATTCTTGGCTCCCGGGCGTGAATAATAGCACATTTTTTTTTTGAATTTTAGCCAATTCAGACTCCCCAAATAAAAATGCTTCATAGTTCATATTTTACAGATCCAATCCCTGATAACGCTATATTATAGAAAACAAGCTATGTATTAGATCATTTGATCATATCTTGTTGTATGTTTTTCCGTTCCAGACGTATTATATCTCGTCGAAAAGATCGTTTTGAGTTCTAAAACCTTGGTTCAAACTTGATTTGTTATGTATTAAAGAGGGGTAGATACAGATTAATCTGAAATTCATAATCATTTCCGAGTTCACCCCAAACTCATGTAGTATTCGATTTTATCTTATCCTGCTATATTTTAATCCACTCCAAGCGTTTGGTATATTATGGACTAGGGAAGGGCAGCCCAACCCGGGACCAGCCCGCCTGGTACTGTTAGGGATGGACCAAACCGGGTCGGCCCAGCCCTGAACTGGCCTGGCCCGCCACTGTGCGGGCCCGGCCCGGCCCGGCCCGGCCCGGCCCGGTTACGGAATGGGCGGTGCGGGCTTTTACCCGGCCCGGGGGAGGCTAGCGGTTCGGGCACGGTTCACAAAAAGGAAGGCCCGGCCGGTTCGGGCCAACGGCTATATTTTTAAAAAAAAAATCCTTTTGGCTACCAAACAGGCCCTTAGAGCCGTTGTGATTGAACCCAAACGGCTATATAGCCGTTGGGAGCCTTCCTGGGGTCCAGGGGTGGGTTAGGGGGGTGGGGGTGGGGAGGGGTAGGGGTACAAAAAAACTATAAATACTCCATTTTTTCTATACAATTTACTACACATCTTCTCCAAATATTCCTACTCTCTAATCTCTATTCTCTACTAATCTTCTCCATCTTCATCTTCTCAAATTTATAACTACATATATTATATTATATTTACATATATTGATATATAATCATCTCTAATTTATTTACTTATATTTACATTTTAGATATACTTAATATATACTTATATATATTAAAGTATTATATATAAGTGTATTACTAATCTTATAGTAATATACTTATATTATATATACTATAAACATAATATTATATATTACTAGTTAATCTACTTATTATCTACTCATATATATATATATATATATATATATATATATATATATATATTAAGTATATCTACTTATACACTTATTATCTAATTGTTACATTTATTAATTTCCTATCATAGTAGTTAATTGTTACATTTATTAATCTCTTATCATAGTAGTTAGTTGTTAATTCGAAATTAATTATTTAATTCTTAAACTAGTTAATTGTTGCATTTATTAATCTCCTATAAAAACTAGTTAATTGTTAGTTTGTTACATTTATTAATCTCTTATCATAGTAGTTAATTGTTACATTTATTAATCTCTTATCATAGTAGTTAGTTGTTAATTCGAAATTAATTATTTAATTCTTAAACTAGTTAATTGTTGCATTTATTAATCTCCTATAAAAACTAGTTAATTGTTAGTTTGTTGCATTTATTAATCTCTTATCATAGTAGTTAATTGTTACATTTATTAATCTCTTATCATAGTAGTTAGTTGTTAATTCGAAATTAATTATTTAATTCTTAAACTAGTTAATTGTTGCATTTATTAATCTCCTATAAAAACTAGTTAATTGTTACATTTATTACATTTATTAATCTCTTATCATAGTAGTTAATTGTTACATTTATTAACTTTCCTATAAAAACTAGTTAATTGGTAAACTAGTTAATTCAAAATTAATTGCTTAATTGTTATTCGAATTTAATATTTGTTATATTTTTAATATGGAGCGTGCTAGAGCTTCTGTAGATATGGGTAACCTCCGCCGCAACCGAACAAATGAGATTGCGAGGAATGTTCCGAATTTATTTTTTCAGAAAGTCTTGCTTTAAAAGAATATGCTCAAGGTTCTTTAAATCCCCAATTTCGAAACTATAGTCGCAAAACAATTAAAAAAGAAGTTATAAGGCAATATGTTTTGGAAAAGCAAAAATTACAAACGTTTTTTGCAAACTTTGATGGACATGTTAGTATATGTAGTGATATATGGGAGGATACTCATCATCATTTATATTATTTGGGTTTGACTGCACATTATATTGATGATGATTGGTGTATGCATAAACGTGTTCTTGCTTTTCGTGAATTTAATGATAGACACACCGGTGATAATATTTATATTCTCATTGAGCGTATTTTAATTGAGTATAATTTGATTAATAAGGTGTTTGCAATTGGTTTTGATAATGCTACTAATAATACTGCTGCTATTCCTAGATTGCGTGAATTGTGTGGTTCATCTTCTTTGATGGGTAGGTTTTTTCATCAGCGTTGTGCATGTCATATTTTAAATTTATGTGTAAAGGACGGCCTAGCGGCGTTGGGAGATGCTATGGAGGTGGTGAAGGGGGGAATTAAACTTATTTGGGCTAGTTCTCAACTTAAGATGCAATGGAGAAATTTTTTGAAAGAAAGACGTGTCAAATATTGTGCTTTTCCTAAAGATTTGTCTATTCGTTGGAATAGTACTTATAACTTAATTAAGGTGCTTATTAGATTTAAAAACCATTTTCCTGCTTTTTTAAAAGAATATGCTAACTATATTATAAACCCGGCCGACATCGACACTTGTGAAAAAGTTTTGAATGTTTTGGTGTATTTTAATAATGCAACTCTAACTTTTAGTCATGTTTATAAACATACCGCAAACCAATTTTTTGTTGAAGTTGTTAATCTCGCCGACGCTTTTTGTGAATTTGCTGATGCCGCTTACGTTAGTTATTTTTGTGACTTCATGAAACAAAAGTTTTTAAAATATTATTCCTATATTCCGCATATATATAGTATTGCATTTATTCTTGATCCTCATTTTAGACTTGATGCTTTGGAGCAATGTTTAGATTACTATTATGCTTCTTTTTTGGGTCATTGCCTATGTACGACGACAAAGCTATAGACCCGAAACAACAATTTCAAGAGGTTAGTAATTTATTATATCAATTATTTAATGAATTTCATGCACAATATGGTAACGCACCCCCTCCCCCGCCACGAACATCTTCTTCATCTAAAGGAAAATCGATTTTGAAATCTGCATTTGGCAATCTTATGAAAAAAAGTAAATCGACTCTGGTTAATGAACAAAGCTCGATCAACGAGCTTTCTTTGTATCTAACATTTCCTGTTGAGTATGAAGAAGGGGATGACTTTGACGTTCTTCAGTGGTGGAAGGAAAAAGAGAGAACGTTCCCGATCTTATCAAAGATGGCTAAGCAAGTGCTAGCAATGGGGTATCAACAATTGCTGTGGAACAAGAGTTTAGTGCGGCCGGCAACATCCTAACGGATTATAGGACGAGATTGAGCGGAAACTCTCTTGAGACGCTTGTTTGCTTCCACGATTGGATGAAGGCCAAACGTAGAACTCAAGAAATTAGCATTGAACCCACCCGCCACTTTATGGAAGAAACAACTGAAGATGGCGGAAATTCTGATTGATTCTTATTCATTAAAAAGTGTATTTCATGTTGTAATTTTTGCTCAATTTCCAATTGTATTACATATTTCAAATTAATACAGTTTAAATTTTTATGCCCAACTAATCTGAATTTAAAAAAAAAATAGCCCAGGCCCGGCCCGAACCGGCCCACAACCCGGCCGGGTAGGCCCGACCCGGACCGGACCCGGTATCACCCCGGGCCGATTCCGGGCCCATCATTCAACAAAAAAGCCCGCCCGGGCCCGGCCCGGAACCGGACCGGCCCGAGTCCATACCTAGGTACTGTTAAGGCCCCACCAACCCAGTAGCCGGACAGGTGGTTATAAGGGGCGGGCTTTGGGCTTGATTTTTTGGGTCAAGCACGGCCAGGTAGGGGGCCGGTCCAGGCCCAACTAGAACTTTTAAATTTTTTTAATTAAATGGGTGGTACCTACCCGAGCCTGGTACTGTTTGGACCCAGACCAGAACCGGTACCGAAGCATACACGGGCCTGTACCGGAGTCCAATTTTCTAATACCAGTACCAGCCCAGCCCGACCCGGGGCTATCCATATTCTGGGCCAGGCCGGACAAGGTCCAACCCTAGTTGGACTAAGAGTAGGGATGGACTCGGGCCGGGTGGCCCGACCCGGAACCGGCCCGGGACCGGTACTGTTCAGGCCCGGCCCGACCCGGTGGCCCGGTCAGTGACCGGTCCGGGTAGGCCCGGCCCGTGGGTTTTCCGGTCCGGGCTCGGGTCACCCAAAACAAGGCCCGACCCGACCGGGCCCGGTTCGGGTCAAAAACTATTTTTTTTTTCAATTTTTTTTAAGTTTTCGGGTTGGGCTGGGTATTTTGGGTCATTTGGGGTGGTTTGGGGGGTTGGGGGTGGGAGGGGGTTAATTAGGAAGAGGAAAACAAAAAAAAAATATAATGGGCCCGGCCCGGACCGGACCCGGTGGTTACCCGGGCCGGTCCCGGGTCCACCATTTCTGACCCGCCGGCCCGGACCCGAGTCCATCCCTAACTAAGAGGATACATAAACTTGGCTTACTCGTCTGGATTTCTTTGGTAGATTTCGTATTCCACATTTCCACGCATATACTTCGTAAAGGGTTGACTTGCAAACTAATGATGTGCTAGACTACAAATTTTTCATTATAATGTAACAAACGTTCGAGTCTTCCATATTAGTAGGCTAAAAGCTTAAAAGTAACACTAATATTGCCAAAAAACCGTCTTCACAACTGAAAAATTACACTTAGTCTGCAAACTAAATTGTTCAAAGCTGCCAAACCTATACGCTAAGAATTACATATCACCCGCTGCAAGACCAAGCTTCCAAGCAACTACATTAATACACAAAATTATCCCACAGGTAACCTTTCTTGTATCAAACGCTACAGCTTTTTTCTTGCGATAAGAGTCTACCTCTCTTGAGCCATTTGACCTTTATTCACAATCTTTTTCTGCAACACACACACAAAATGGTTTACCTTTATTTATATACATAAAATGTACCTGTAATAATAATACATTTTCCCTAATAAATTGATTTATGCCGTATGTTATTACATATATTGATATTAAAAATGCATCTGTTAATAAATTTTTTCTGTATGTGACTTTTAAAATTTAATTTGTTAAACCATCTATTATTAAGTTTAAAATTTCATCCAAGAAGCTTTTATAGAACAAATTCATATTTTGGACCAAACTTTCATAGAATATAAGTGAAAAGCATGAAAGTAATCAACCTTAAACAAAACAGTTCGATGCCACATGCGGATTGTAGAGCCAGAAAATCTTCAAATAAAAATTTAACTAATAGAAACAGAAAGCATTATTCCATCATTTGCAATGGAGCCAAAAAACTCGTTATTTTTTGGCTTGGAAATATGATGAAATAAAGCAAATGGGCTCACTAAACTGTCTTCGCTTCTTTGTTATGAAGCAGCAGTCAGTCCATGCAATTTTTGACGCGCTTTTCACTATGGGTCATCCGGAAACGGTCTCTCTGGACTTTAGTACAGAGGTAAGACTGCGTACATCTGACTCTCCCTTACCCCATTGTACGTGGAAGGCTTTGCGTCAATGGGGTAATGATAATGATAATGAAACAGAAAGCATACTCAATCCAGATGCGGAATTGTAAAGCCGGAAAATCTTCAAATTAAAATTTAACTAATAGAAAAAGAAAGCTTACTCACTCAACTCATGTGTTCCGCAGATTTTGAGAGGAATATGTAGCTGGAGCCGATAGGAGGAAGATGTGGATAAAAGATTTGAGAGGAAGAGGGTTGTTTACAGAGAGAAGTGCATGAAAAAGAAGAAGTGCATGAAAAAGAAGAGAGGAATGTTAGAGTTTATTTGCGGTGGAATAAAAAGAAATGTTGAGAGCTAAGTTTAAATCTCGGCCACAAATTTTAATCATTTAAATCTAACGATAGTGATAAGTTTGGTTCGTTTTCTCTTCTACGGACATACGGGACAAGAAAAGTTCTATATATATAAGAGAATGATCATGTCAGGCCAATTTAAAATTTTAAGGTGAAATTTGGTAAACATAATCTAAACTTTATGAAGGTCATGTTCACAAAAGTTCATCATTGGTGGGCATAAACTAGACTTAATGAAGAACACACTCAAATAATTTCATCAAAAAATTCAACCGGGAACCCCAAACGGCCTCGGCTGCCGGACGGCGAGTCCCGTCAGGGCGGCTTGATATGAACTGCTCTCTCTTCTATATATATATATATATATATATATATATATATATATATATAGGGGATGGTTCAAATAAAAAGTGGTCTTAACGTGCAAAGTGCAAAGTTTGCACTTTTTCATGTTTCGCTTGCACTTTTTCGTAGTAGCTCAAAAAAATGATTTGTTTACAAAACCGCCACTGTCATTTTGGCCGAATTTGGCCAAAATCAAAATATCCAAAAAGTGCAACGCAAACAAGAAAAAGTGCAAACGAAACATGAAAAAGCGAAAATTTTGCACTTTGCACGGGAAGACCACTTTTCATTTGACTTCTTCCCTATATATATATATATATATATATATATATATATATATATATATATATATATATATATATATATATATATATATATATATATATATATATATATATATATATATATATATATATATATATATATATATATATATATATATATAGTGTCATACAAAAAAAAACATACAACAACATCCAAGCCTTAATCTCAAAAGAATTTAGGGTCGGATAACATGAATCGATCTATTATATCGATGCCAAAAAGAGAAGGCAGACAAGAAAAGGAAAAAAAAGTAAGATAAAATGAATAAAATAAAGATACATAAATATAAGATAACAATAACACAAGAATATAACCAAGATAAAAGAAAAATAAATAAAAGAGCATAAAAAGGCTAGAAGATAAAAATAACATAAGAATATAAAAAGATAAGGAAGATAAACGATAAAAGAAACAAAAGAGGAAAGGTAGACAAGACATCAATCGTCCACATGGATGTGCGCCCTCCACTTTGCTCTCTCCAAAGCCATACTTCTCATCCAACCCAAGAAGATGCATATCAGTTCTGATTACTCTAATTCAAGTCTGTTTGGGTCTTCCCCTCCCTCTCTTCTCTGAATCTTCTCCCCACCCCTCAAGTCGTCTAACAGGTGCATCACTCGGTCTTCTATGCACATGCCCAAACCACCGCAAACGAGACTCCTGCATCTTATCTTCTATAGGTTCTACTCCCACCTTTTGTCTGATTACCTCATTCCTCAGGCGGTCTTTTCTGGTATGTCCACACATCCAACGCAACATATACATCTCTGTCACACTCATCTTTTGAATGTGGCATTGCTTCACCGCCCAACACTCTACGCCATACATTAATGTCGGCCTAATTGTTGTACGATAAAATTTACCTTTCAGTTTAGTCGGCATACCTCGATCGCATAGAAATCCTGAAGCACTTTTCCATTTCATCCACCCAACTCTGATTCTATGACATACATCTCCATCTAATTCGCCATCCTTCTGAATTATGGATCCCAAGTAACGGAATATATCACACACCGGTATCTCCTTACCATCAAGAGTAATCCCACTGTTGCTATTGCTTCTACCTCCACCGAACTTGCACTCCATATACTCAGTCTTGCTTTGGCTCTCTTTGAAACTCTTGCTCTCCAATGTTTGTCGCCATACTTCCAAATTTGTTTTACACCGGATTGTGTCTCATCAATCAATACAATATCGTCGGCAAACATCATGCACCACGATGTATCTTCTTGAATTGACTTCGTAAGTTCATCTATGACTAAAGCAAATAAGAAAGGACTCAGAGCAGATCCTTGGTGCACTCCAATAGTAATAGGGAACTCTGCGGTCCTCCCTACACTAGTGTGGACACTTGTAGTACAAGCATCATACATATTCATGATGATGCTGATATACTTACGTGATATGCCTTTTCTAGTTAAGGCCCATCAAAGAACTTCTCGAGGTACCATATCATATGCCTTTTCTAAGTCAATGAAGACCAAATGCAGATCCTTTTTAGTGTCTATACTTCTCCACAACTTGTCTAAGAATGTGAAAGGCCTCAGTTGTTGAGCGTCCAGGCATAAAACCAAATTGATTCACCGAAATTTTCACTCTTTTACGTAGTCTTTGCTCAACCACTCGCTCCCAAAGTTTCATGGTGTGACTCATAAGCTTAATCCTTCGATAGTTAGCACATTCTTGTACATCACCCTTATTTTTAAATAAGGGAATGAGAGTACTCTTCCGCCAACTCACTGGCATTTTGTTGTTTCTCCAAATCATGTTGAAGAAACGTGTTAGCCACTCGATGCCTTTCTCTCCCAAACTTCTCCAAGCCTCGATCGGTATGCCATTTGAGCCCACTGCTTTCTTCCGGCCCATTTTTCTCATAGCCTCTTTAACTTCTGTTGTTTGAATCCTTCTCAGGAAGTCCCTATTTACCATACACTCTGGTATAGTAAGATCATCAATACCTTGGACTTTATTCCCGTTGAACAAGGTATCAAAGTATGACCTCCACCTCTCTTTTATTTCTTCGTCGTCCATTAGTACCCTTTGATCGACACCCTTCACACACTTAACTTTTCCGATATCTTGAGTCATACGGTCACGAAGGCGAGCAAGTCTGTAGATATCTTTTTCTCCTTCCTTAGAATCCAACTTTACGTACAATTCCTTATTCACTTTTCCTTTGGCTTCCTTCACAGCTTTCTTTGCTCTTCTTCTAGCCTCTTTGTACTCCTCTATGTTCTCGTCGCTCAAACTTTTGCCCAATTTCTTATAGCATTCTCTTTTGGCCCTTATTGCTTGTTTCACCTCATCAGTCCACCAGGATGTGTCCTTTTTTGGTGGCAGACATCCTTTAGATTCTCCGAGTATCTCCTTCGTCACTTTGTTAATCGTGGACTCCATTGATAATCACACATCATCCACGTGTGCGTCATTATCAATAGACCAAACATCTTCCTCCAACATTTTGTGTGCAAAACTTTGTTGGAGATTCCCCTCGAGCCTCCACCATTTTATCTTTGGCTCCCCTTGTACCTTAACTCGTCCCCTCTTTTTACCTCGAAAATCAAGCACAAGCATCCTATGCCGAGTGATAGCACTCTCACCTGGGATAACCTTACAATCAGTGTAGCTAGTTCTCCAAGTTGTCCGTACTAAAAAATAGTCAATTTCGGTACTATTAGCTGTACTTCTATAGGTGACAAGGTGAGAGTCTCTTTTTTTGAACCAAGTGTTCATCACAGCCAGCTCATATGTTGAGGCAAAATCCAGAATGTTCTTCTCCGCTTCATTTCTAGTGCCAAAACCATGTCCGCCATGGACACTCTCAAAACCATCACGACTTGGGCCCACATACCCGTTGAGGTCGCCTCCTATGACCAGTTTCTCTCCCCTTGGCACTCGTCGCACCACTTCCTCAAGCTCCTCCCAAAATTGTTGAGTGATAGATGCATCCAATCCCACTTGTGGTGCATAGGCACTAACCACGGACACGATCTCATCCCTTATTATCAACTTAATGCTCATGATGCGATCTTTCTTCCTAAACACTTCAACCACACCGTCAACATAATCATATGCCACCATAATGCCTACTCTATTTTTGTTCCTCTCTCTCCCCGAGTACCAAAGCTTAAAACCTCCGGGATTAATCTCGCGTGCCTTTTCTCCAACCCACTTAGTTTCTTGCATGCACATTAAGCTGATATTCCTCCTCTTCATAACCTCGCCTATCTCAGATGATCTTCCCGTAAGAGAGCCAACATTAGATGTCCCAAAGCGCAATCTAACACCTTGCCTTCTCTTCTTCACCCCACATCGACCCCCACCATGCCCTTGCATATTTGACACCATCCCCGGGCATTGGAGTGGCGCATCGCTTCTGGGCGACGACCTAGCAGCCTTAGCATTCTTATCACCACACTCAGGCCTATGAAGTGTAGCACACCCTTGCTCATTTGACACCACCCCCAGGCGGAGGGATGGCGCGTCGCTTACGGGCGACGACCTAGCTGTAGCGATATCCCTATTTCGATTCATGTCATGTGATGTGACTAAGTGATACTGTTGGACGTCACGCGCCTACCACAACACCCTCTTCCTTTATCATGGCTTGGGACAGGCATGATACCAAAAAAATGATCTCATCGCGGAGTTATACAAAAAAAAACATAAAAGAATTAAATATGAAGTAACAAATGAATGTGAAAGTGAAGTACGAAAGAATGGACTAAAAAAATAAAAGAATGACCACAGTAAGGAGAATACTGAACTAGTTAAAAAAAAATAAAAGAACAAAAAGAAGTTAGTCTAGTAGCTACATGCCTACATGAGAAGGGTTAATACGGTACAGGGGTGGACAAAAGGAGAAAATAAAGGAAATCACACATTACCATGTATTGCTTGTGTTTTGAGAGGGATGACGCGTCGCTTACGGGCGACGACCTAGCTGTAGTGATATTCATATTTCGATTTATGTCATGTGATGTGACTAAGTGATACTGTTGGCCGTCACACGTCTACCACAGCACCCTCCTCCTTTATCCTGACTTGGGACAGGCATGATACCAAAAAAATGATCTCATGGCGGAGTTGTACAAAAAAAACAAAAAAACATAAAAGAATTAAATATGAAGTAACAAATGAATGTGAAAGTGAAGTACGAAAGAATGGACTAAAAAAAATAAAAGAATGACCACCGTAAGGAGAATACTGAACTAGTTAAAAACAATAAAAGAACAAAAAGAAGTTAGTCTAGTAGCTACATGCCTACATGAGAAGGGTTAATACGGTACAGGGGTGGACAAAAGGAGAAAATAAAGGAAATCACACATTACCATGTATTGCTTGTGTTTTGAGAGTGACTAGGAAATAAATTTTCAAAAATGTCTACCCTGCCCTTCAACGGTGTTTTCAATGCAAGGGAAATCCACATTTTGCCCAATTTCCTTTCTCTTCATTTTTCACTCCAGTGTTTTCAATCCATGGGAAATCCATGTTTTGCACATATTCCTTTTTCTCTTCATGTTTCACTTACCCAACCGGTTTAGTTCAATTGTACCAGCACTATTTGCATTCTATTTCTCTTCAGCTGAAACTTTATTCGACTCTTTTTACACACGATCCTGCGTTTCTTTTTAGTTGCAACACGATCCTGCGTTTCTTTTCATACTTTATGTTAATTTCTCTTCAGTGATTTCCTTTAAGTTAACACGATCCCTTATGTTAACTTTCATAATTTTTAGTCGGTCAAGCCTCGTAAACCGCAACAGGACCATCAAATTGGGACGGAGGGAGTACATTTTATTTATTAATGCATGAGAATTTTTTCTTTTTTAAAAATATTGTTGAATTCATCTCATTACAAATTTTCAATATCTGATTTTCAATTTGGTTACTAATAGAAAATTAGATATCATGACAGTGAACGTTGTGCATTGGCAAGCGTGAAAATGGATATGTTGCAAGTTGCAACTAAAAAAGAAAGGAGGAAGTATCTTTTTTTCTCACCGACTTGTGACTTCCTCCCCCTCTATTACTTTTTCTCCTAGCAAATACAGCATAAATACTATCCATTCGACACCAATAATAAGCCTTGAGAATCATGGAAACCCTATGTACACCATATTTCAGGGGAACACAGGAGATTCAGTAAAATATTATCATGTACTCCCTCCTTTACTAATTGTCCCATAGTTACATAGATCATTAAAATGGCAACGATCTGCATACCGGTCGTTCCGTACCCAATCACGATACGAAAGCTATCCAGCCGCTACTGGGAACCCTATGTGATACGCTTGGGTAATCGATCCCAATTGTTGTTCAAATCAATCTCAATCGCTGGGAAGAAACGGTCTCAATCATTTTTACAGTCGATCGTAAACAAATTGCAGGTCGTTCCCCAAGTGTTTTCCCAGCGAACCAGTTTGGCACTCTGAATCATCGTTTCCTATCACACGCGCAGATTTCAAAAAAAAATACAAGTCTGCTGGCGTTTCGTAACCCTTTGTTTTCAGACGCTTGTACAAGCATAAGGGATTACGGATTTTGACCCAGACTCTTTGTCTTCCGATCCTACTCATCAATTTTACCTTCTAACTCTTATAAATTGAGTGAAAAATGTTTTATTTCATACGACACTATCCTGCAATCTTTGTACTCTTCTCCCTTCTAAAATATTTTGTTTCTAGAATATTAATGTTTTTTATTTTGTTTAATGTTATAAAATCATTTTATGAAATCTGTTTTTGTTAAATGTTACTCCCTCCGCCCCCCTAACTTTGTCCCGTTTTACCCTTTTCGTCTGTCCCATTAAGTTTGTCTCATACCCTACTTGGTAAGGTGGTTACAATTCATTCTTATTTTATTCACTTTATCAATTCAATACTAATCACACAATTCTACTTTTTTCTTAAAAATCGCACAACACCTCTTTGTCTTGATCTTAGGGGGACGGAGGTAGTATGAAATATGTAATTCAGTTTCATTATAGTACCAAAATATAAGGTACAGCGTACCAAACATATGGTACAGCGTACCGAGCACGTACCGGAATGAACCTACACCCCTATGAACCGGATACGCTAGACCTAGCGAACTGCGTTCTTGATCCTCATTCCCGTACCGAACATATGGTACAGCGTACCGAACATGTACCGGAATGAACCTACACCCCTATGAACCGGATATGCTAGACCTAGCGAGCTGCGTTCCTGATCCTCATTCCCGTACCAAAGCGTTCCACGAACTATGTGACTATGAATTGTCCATCGAGAAAAAGTATGATATTTCAAGTGATAACTTTCTCTTGTCATATATTGACATATATACCCATATTCATATCTAGATATTGCAGGTAAAAAAGGAAAACCCCATGAATAAATGCGGGAGTTCAACTGCACTCATTTACTATGCTTTATTAGATTGCTAAATCATGGCTTAGTGGGAGCAAAAATGTATTTAGTTAATTTGAGATGAGAAGAAATCTACCAGACTTCCAGAGGATTATCCCATGGATATATCTTCATCAGAATCCTGAGGTGGGTGCAAGGGTCCCTTAAACGCACTCTTGTTGTCGGCAAGAAGTTCGCGGCTGGCTTTCTCGAGAAATTCCTGGGCGGCAGTACGAACAGATTGTCTTTCACACGGTTGGCATTTTCTCTTCTTATGGACAGCTCGTTCCAAATATTTAATCCGTGTCACCTCACCTTTGCTGATCTCTTTCATACTCTGCTTCTGCTCTGCAAAGTTGTCCTAATAAAAGAATAAAGGTACAAGAAAAAATTATTTAGCCTTCTAGAGGAGCCAATCACCCACCTCGTGTTAAGTCCGGTAGAGAATGCTCAATAAACCGAGTCGCTGCTTGTGAATTGATGGTGGCTGAGGGGCGCAGTGGTGCTTCGAGAAAAAGATCAAAGAAAGTCAGATATTCACAAATATACATCATTTGCTAGAGGAACCTTGCAATCATGAATACATTACTTCCTACATCCATCAAACACGTTATTCTTTCCTTCTTACATTACCCCAAATAAGCTTCATGTTTTTTTGTTGAAAATAATGTTGCAGATATTTTTCTTTCCTTTTTAAATACATCTCAAACACACAATCTCCACTGTTTTACTATGCATGCAAAAGAAATGTTGTAATTTATGTAGGGACAGGGGTAATACTATTTGAGGAGTACTAAGTGCTTGTTTGGTAAGAGCTATTTGGCTCAAATATCTAAAACTACAGAATTTTTCTAAAAGAAAAGAAAAAAATGGTAACATCCATTTTAACCATATCAGCAGCTAAAAAGAGTTCCTCATTCAAAAAGCACTTTCAAGAACTGTGGTGGGAAAGTACTTCTGAGACCTGTGAATGTTTGACTTATGAATCCCATCCAGCGCTTACCAATTACAATTTGTTTGGGATTGAATTGGGACATGAAGGAGACTTTTGCATCGCAAACAAAGCCCCAGATGCGGTCTAGGTTGGACCCTAGATAATGCATCTTGTAGAACTACATATATATACATATAGCTTATCTGGAAATGATTCATTGATCATATAAATACATATAGCTTATCTGGAAATGATTCATTTCCTATTGGACCTACTCTTATAAACCAATATTTTACAAAGAGTAGATTTGTGGCATAATTGATACCCAGTCCAGCAGTACCTCTATGCATTTCCAAAGAACGTTGCACTTTCTCTTGGTACAAGCTTAACCGCTCCTACATTGATGATCATGAAGACCTCAGATGGAATAAAAATGGGAAAAACAAATAAATGACTGAATGAGACCAATGGTATTGAGAGAGGGATACCAAGTTACCAACACAAATCCCCAACAGTCAAGTTATCAATCACATAGAATTTCCCACACCAGTCAAATTTCACAAACAGATGCTGATATATAAAATAACTCTAGTAATCTTCTACCAGTAACATTCAGGAGCTAATAGGGTCAGTTCTAACCAAAATCCAAATAGTTGTAAAAAATAAAATATTCTCAAAATAACACTCAGTAAGTCAGTTGCTAAAAAATGTCAACAGTGGATATAATAAGAACCAACCACCCAAAGCTTAAGAGATAAATAATGCATAGTAAGCACAACTTTATCATTTTATATGCTCACCATACAAAGCTCATAAATGCATTAATTAAAAAAGCGCAAATAACAAAATACCAAGAAATTGACCTGATAAATGAACCAAAAACACCAATTTACCCCAAAAACCTAAACTACAGAAATAAAGAAAAGTATGAACACAGTAAAACAGGAAAACATACAATCTCAGACTTTACATGATGGTCATCTGGATTCACTCCTTTGCACCTCAACCTCACTGAAAAAATACAATTTTGATAAAAACAAACAATGAAGTTAATTAATAAAGTCCAAAAATAAAAGAAAACCCATTTGCAGTATAGCACAATCATATATCAATGTGGATTTCGTACATGCATAGGCAATGGTGGCGGCTTTGGACAGCAAGAGGAGAGAGTGGGCCCTGTCAAGAGGGTTCATTCGAGAGAGAGTATCAGCGTCGCAGACAGAAAGGAACTGGTCCATATGAACACTTAGCTCGTCGATGTTCTTTGAAGTTCTGCTCAATGACTCCGCAGCCGCTTCCTGAATCAATTTCAGGCCGCCGCCCTGCCCCGCCGCAACTCCATGTACATCCATCCTTTCGGGGTATTCTTCACGTTTTAGCAACAAACCGAGCTCACTCTCGGTGAGGAGTAACCATAACACTGAAATGAAATTGAATGAGAGTTAGGCCTTTCCGCAGTCGTTACCGATGGAAGTACAATGTGAATGCAGGGTTAGGGATCATCATCCGGATCACCGGCCCAAAACTAATGGATTAGTAGCCTAGCCCGACTGTGTAGTTTACTTTAACAAAAATTCTTTTTGTACACTTTCTTATACACATCGGTACACCCCGTGTCTGTAAGAGTTTTGTTTTGTCTGTGGACTAAAAACTAACTTGTTTTGTCTGTGAAAATTTCTACGGACAATACAAGTCTGTTTTTGTCTGTGGACTATGATTCAAAGACAAAAAAAACTCTCACAGACACGGGGGTGTACTAATGTGTATAAGAAGGTGTACACAAAGAATTGTTGTTACTTTAAAGTGTCGGGCTGGCTAGGAATCCAGGAATCCTAGCTATTGGGGGCAGAGTAGCAATGACGTACATGAAAAAAATATTTTTTTTATCAAAATTATTTTGGAAGGTTGCTGCTACAAGGAAACCCCACGGAAGAAGTATCCCAGTCAGATTTGATTTCCTATTGTTCGCTCAGCCGAAATCCTAATTTGGATCAGTGAAAATTTCGGTGATCCGAAATCTTTTCATTTAAAGGACTCCCGAGTTGCAGAAGTCAAGCATCATTCGAAATCCTGGATTTCGACACAGGTCAAAAATCAGAGTGGCTACACTGAAGTGGTCCGAAATCCTAATTTTGAAATTGCACAACAGGTGGTCCGAAATTTGAAGTTGTCTCATGAGACCGGTTAAATTTTTCGACATTCGTGTCCGCAGGTCACCCACACAGGGGGTGCGAATTTTCGATTTTGAACTAGAAGCCGAAATTTCATGTGCGCGAGAGCTCCTCTTTTCTCATTCTCACTTTGATAATAAGGAAGGAGTATTCCATATATATAGGCTCAAAAGTTTCCAAAGAGTTTAGGTGTGGGATAAGTTATCAAGCTTAATTTTTCCTACGCTTGGAGAAGTACATTTTTTTAAAACTCACACTTTAAGAACTACTTTTGAGCCCATTTCGATTTTTGAGCTCAAATCTTCAACACCAAAGTTCAACTCTGCAGTCAAAGCTTCCAAGAGTCAACCTTGAGATTTAAAAAAAATCAAAAAAAAATCAAAAAAAAAATATTTAAATCTCAAGGTTCAAGATTATTTTTTCTCACAAAGGGCAAAGCTGGTCAAAGCTATTTTCTAAAGGATCCCTCTCCGACAATCATCAATGAGTTCCAACTCCAACTCATCAATGCTCTCAAGCAACGGATCAACCACAATATCCGACAAGTTCCAGGTAAGTATTTCTTATTCAAATAAAATAAAAGAACTTGGAGACAGACTTGCTAATAATCAAAAGGTTCTGAAAAAAACAAGTGTTAGAAAGAGCTTATGAAACAGCACGCTTAAAAGATTCACGAGATAAAGTCACTAGTTTAGAGTCTGAAGTAGCTAAACTTAAGAAAACTGTCTGTGAATTAACTAAGGAATTGTATGAGAACAAGCAAAAACGCTCTGAAGCTGTTACCCATTTTGAATTGATTAACAAGGGACGTGGTCGTCTTTATTCAAAAATAAAGGAGTTAGAGGATATTTTAGCAAAGAGAGGTCAACCAGAACAGACAGACTTTTTACTAAACAATAAAACTAAGGACACTGAATTCTATAACCCTAGAGAAGGACGAGGTTTCCGAAACCCTGAAAACTTGAAAAGGGTTGATTGCATTCAATTGTACGACATAAGGTACATGAAGTTAGGGTTAACTAAGCTGATTAAATTTACTAGTGCTTCTGAAACTATTGAGGAGGAAGAAGAGAAAAGAAAAAATAGGGCTAAAGCTGAAATTAGTTTCGATTATACTGCTCTTAATGACAGCTATGCTACTAGACATATTCCTCTTTCTGATGACTATATTGCTCTCTCTCCTCCTGAAAATCAAACTGTGTCCAATGGGGAAGAAGCCTCCACTTCAAAGGTTTCTGAACCATATTTTCATGCGATTATAAAGAAAATGGTTGATCTTCATTCTTCTTTTGAAGAAGAACGAGAAAAGTTTAAATCTGAAAAGGAAAATATTTTGAAGAAAATTTCAGAATTAACTAATCAATCCTCTTAAGACTCGAGAACTCTTGATAATTCCCTTTTTGAAAAGAATAAAAATCATTTTTTAAGAAAAAGGGACTCAACCTCATCTCCTGTTCGTAAAGGCAATTTTTCAAAACCTCCTTCTCAACAGGTTTCTAAGGAAAACGGCTCACCCTCTCTCTCTCATTTTGAAAAACCGAAAGGTAATGTTCTTAATAAACGCCAAGAGAAGAGGATAGCCTGGATTTTCAAACAAACTCAAAAGGAGGCTGCAAGACTCAAAATGTTTTCTGAAAATTCAAAATCTCTTTTCACTAAGTCTTGTAGTAATTTCGAGAATACTCATTCTAGTTCTGAAAGTCAGTCACCTAGTTCTTTCACAGACAAGTGTGCTAAGTCTTCTACTGATGATTCTACTCTTGTGAGAACTCAATCTAGTGCAACTATTAGTGCAACTAGGCAGTCTAATACTTCAAGTCATCATTGTGGTGTGAGTGATGAGACATCTAAAGAGAAAAGATTTAGAGCTTCTACCTATGATGTTTGTGATGATGTTAAACTGAAATATCCTCTCAAGGTTTACTCAGTCAAACAATTGAAACGTCTATCAAAGGAGAAAATCTTTACTTCTCAAAATAATATCCCATCATTCACCTGCGCTGAAACTGTTATTGTTCAAAAATGGATTCCTAAATCAGAATTACAGTCATATAGCTCTCCAAAAGCTTCAAACGAGACTGGTTTAGGAACAAAAATTAATATATAAATTTCATAATTTGTGTCACACGAGAAAGGACGGTCTCATCCTTAAATGGGTACCAAAGATTTCTTAATTCTTTTTAGAGGTGTCCCTCATGTGTGGTACCTCATATGTTTGCTCCACACACATGATGGGAAATTGAGCTTCTGAGCAACAACCCCTTTGGCTTCTGAGTAAATCAGCTCAGAACCCGCACTACATCAGAAAGACTTCTGAACACCTCAATTCAGAACTCTTGCACAAATGCAGGACGTATCACACGTCAAGGGGGAGCGATGAAGAAATCTTTTTCTGAGCTTCCATACATGTTCAACAAAAGCTCTGAGTGAATCTATTCAAGACAAATCATTCTTTAGGGGGAGCAAGTGTGCGCAATATGAAGGAGAGTACTGACGTGTATACTCCCACTGAGCTGAAAATCAACAAATGCACATGATAACCGCTTTCGCGGCGTTGTAGTAAAACGGAGTCTAACCTTTCGGTTTTTCCCCGAGTATCGTGTCTCTTGAGGAATGACGGAGGAGTTTTCTTAATTTTAAGCTCAGTCACAGGTTATCGCAAATTATTGGAAGCTTTCCGAATTAAAACTTTTGATTGATTTTTTAAACTAGTTTTTGAAAAATAAAGTAATTAAATTATGCAAATACTAATGATGGCTCAAAAATAAACTAAATGAAAAATATTAAACTCTTAAATGGATTGATCAAAGAAGGGCAATGAATTGAATAATTAGAAATGGATATATTCTTGGACCTAGTAATTAGGGGAATTAAAACAACAATTGGACTAATAATTTCTTTTCTCAAAGACGAGAATAGAAATTACTTTCATTAATTTATCCTATTTCTAGGTTTCATCAATGTATTCAAAAATGGTTGGCTTGAATTAAATTCTAATCTCATGGACAAGACAGAAATAATTCTCCAATATTTTGTTTAATAAAAATAGCCAAATTCATTAACTAATTAAACTCATTAATTAAGCAATTTGAATTTAATTCTCATAGACAAGATGTAAATCCATTTCATTAAAATTTCCTATTTCAAGGCCTTATTAACGTGCTTAAATATGGTTGGCTCAAATTATTTTCTAATCCCATAGACAAGTTAGAAATAATTTTCCAAAAGTTAATTAATGAAAATGGCTAACAATTATTAATTACTAATTCATCAATTTGAATAACAAGCCCAATTAATTAATTTTAACCCCTAATTTTCGGCTAACAAATCAATCCATATTCTTTTACTCAATTCATGCCCAAAACAATTTTAGCTACTAAACATTATTTTTGCATTTAACAATATGGTAAATAAATTAACCATTAACAAGGAATTAAACATGTATAATAGCAAAAATTAATCAAAAATAAGATCTTGTCAAAATAAACTTTCTGGAACTACAATATGACTTTTTGGAATTTTTCACGAATTTTTAAACCTAAAATCCAATTTTAACCCTAATTGATAATTTTCCCACTTTTAACTATAAAATACAAAAGGCAATTAAAAATAGGCTAAATTCGTTATAAATTTTCTATTGACTACTGGAAGTGATATTACAGTGAAATAAACTGGAATTAGGGCCGAAACTATTTTTTTACTCTTTTTAAGTAATTAATTTAATTTATGCAATAATAATAACTAATTACTGAAATTAATTAAAAATTACTTCTGCTTAGGAAAAATTAACTTTATTCAGATAAATAACAACCTTGAGGCTAGTAAACAACTATATAATTAATTGGAATGAATTCAACATCAACAACTATTTTATTTAATTTTTGGAAGAAAATGCGAAATACTTGATAAATATTCTGGAAAAATTCGAAGATCGGATCGAGAAAAAAAAGCACAGATTCAGATTCTACTCGTTGACAAGATGAAAATACATATAAAGAACTTACAAATTGGAGCTAAAATGAAAAAGATATGAAAGATTGAAGTTGAAGGTGCAACAATGGTGGAAATCCGAGCTTTGAAGAGGAAGAAGAAGACCTTTTTGAACTAGTTTCGGGCTAAGAATGATGTATTTGAGTTCAGAAAAAATCGGGCTATTTATAGCACCAAAAATCTCGCAGGCCTCCAAACAGGCGGCCACCTCCCGCCTTGCTCTGGCTGCCTGCCGTCACATCGCACCGACCGGTTGTTCGTTTCGTCGTCTTGTGCCGCAGGCGGTCATCGAAGGCGGCCGCCTTCCGTCCAGTGTCGGCCGCCTTCCGTTTTTCTCC